AGTCCTTGAACAGAATTCCCTCTGCTAATTTAGAAGCCAAGATAGAACTACCTTCCTACCAATAGAATGAACAAAATTGTGTAAGCATTCCTATATATATCATACTGTTCTGGGACAGCTGCACCAGGAGCTTCAGCTTATCTTGCTATTTGTTGATTGCTGCATCTATTTTAAAGTTCTATGCCTTTGCAGTTAGATGGCTTTCCTTACTTTGCAGTTATTGGGTCAATTGCTTGTCAATTATCCTTAGGTTCCCTAGTCCCGCCCCTTTTTTGGGCTTTGGAGGGAAGTGAGCCATTTTGTTAAGTAGTCTCAGCCAGGTTAGCTTTTGTATAGGATGTGTGTAACTTCCCCTGTACAAAGGCTTCAACCTCTGAAAAGTTGTTATGCTTTCTACAGGTGAAATATATTTGGGAGAGGCTGAACTGTTGGGAAAAGACGCAATAATGACCAGGCGGGAGGCAGGGTGTAGAAGTGAATGATGATGGCTTTTTTATTGTTGCCCAAGCAAAGCTTATATGGGTTCTGGTGCTCTTCAGCAAAGGTCTGCATAGCAACAGTGGGGGATTACATAATTGCCAAGTGATTGGTTGGACTCTCAAGGGTGAGGTAATCTACAGGTGAGGTCAGCTATAGGTGATGTCATCCTTCCTGCCCTCAAGGGTAATGTCCATACATGGTCAGTGGGGTAGGAACAGTGTATGCATCTGGGGAATACGGTTTGCCGATGTTTTCCAGTGGCATAACTGGTTTTCTACTGGTTTCCTACATCCCACCTTTTTCTGTTTATTTAAAGGCCAGGACATATATAGGACATTATCTTGAGGCGGGGGGGAAAGGTCAGCAGAACGTGAGGCTGGCAAGAAGCTTATAACAATGGGATATATATCAAATGTAGCAGTAGCAGATTATTATATAAGCCATCAATAGTTGTGTAGAGTAAACAAATTGGATAATAAAAGTTTTACCAAGCAGGTACAGTGTTTTGCTTAATATGTTAAGCTAAGTCTTTAAAAAAAGCAACATGCATAAATATTTTGTTGAAATTATTTGTGAGATTTGAAACAACACATAGAATTGACTGGAGGGTGAACATGGGAATGGGAGTTTGGAGGCCTTGGTGCCACATCATCTTTTCAGGGGCAAATGTAGCGAGCAGGAACCCAAAGCGCTTGATTTAAGAAGCCAATGACAGAGAATGTGTGATTAAACAATTTTGTCAAAAAGCAAGTCGTGTTTGTTAAAGTCCATAGGTTTATGACAGCTGAAGCAGGAACTCAAATCGGCCCGTCACAGCAGTATTTTCGACTTCAGGCGATGAGGGGAGCTGGGCCTTCTCACTCCGGATCTGGCAACCTGTATCAAGGGAGGAGGAGGAGGAGGGAGAGGGGTGGAGGTTTGGAAATATTTCTGGATCCTGGTAACGAAAGAAGAATCAGATAAAATTAAATTCAAATGATTAATGGTAAATAACACATATAGGAAGGCCATTGTTGGAAAGCTGTTGGAAAGCGAAAGTGAAAAGAGCAGCGAAGAGGCCAGGGGGCTGACTCCCCCCTTTTGGTTTGTGTGTGAGAAGAAGCAGATGGTTTGTAGAGGTATGTTTGGAACGTTCAGCAATCTCGTTTTGTGTGGCCATCGTAGGGAATGTTAAAGATGTGAGTAATATTGTAGGAAGAGTAGAACGTTGTGAGCGTAGCGCTGTAATAAGAGGGTCTGGTGGTAGTTTTTATTGTAGGAGGGACCCTCATGAATGTAAAGGTATAAAGAAAGTAATTGATAACATGTGTGGTGTGTCCTTTTTGTGAGGGGTTGTCTTTACTTAAGCAATTCGAAAACAGCTTTAGCTGTAATTAGAGAAATTAGGTACCGCTAAAGAGGGGGAGGTGTTTTATGGTGCCATAAAGAAAGAAGATCAGAAAATGTTGGGCGACCAAAAGGTAGGAGGAAGTCCTGACGGCTCTTCGTCATTGAGCATGGAGCGGGTCCAACCTTCCATGCTGGACACTGAGTTGAAACAACACACCTCCCTTCTGTTCTGTCTGTCTCTGTACTGTGTGTACAAAATGGCATTGAATGTTTTCTGTGTATGTGTACCGTGATCTGCCCGGAGTCCCCTTCTAGGTAAGAATGGTGGAATATATTATTATTATTATTATTATTATTATTATTATTATTATTATTAACCTTTCTGGTTTGTGATCAGAAGTAGACAAACAGGGGAAATAATGGAGATAATTTCACCTACTGGAGAAGCGGTCTGGGATGGAGGAGAGAAATTATTATTGATTTATTTAAATATTTCTTGGAGAAATGTGGCATCACAGGCTGTCCCTCAGCTCTGAATGTCAGTTCAGAATAAACAGTACCCCCCTCCCTTTTTGCGTCACAAACGTTATACTTGGCAAGCCGCACACCACTTTTTAAAAAATCATGGTTTCCTGCTGTATTCCTGCAATAGGGTCTGAAAAAATGTCACTTTGTTTCTTTTCTCTTTAACAGACAACTTCCAGTGAATGATAGCTGTATCTATGCTGTCAAAGTAATGCAGTTTGATACCACTTGAAAATCCAGGGCTCAATACTATGGAATTCTGGGAGCTGTCATATTACAAGGTCTTTAGTTTTGCTGTAAAAAAAAAATAGGTAACCTTTGTGAGAGAGAAAGGGGAGTTCGGAACCCAATTTCAGGATCAGTATACTGAGATTCAAGTACAACCTGATCCTTATTATTATTTAGAGCTTTTATAAACCAGTCTTCTCAACATCCGAAGAGGGACTCGGGCCGGCTAACAACAGGAAATTCATACAGAATCAGCTAAAACATATTAATATCATAATACGTTAATACATTAAAATACAGATTAAATAATTACATAAGCCAAGTCATCAAGGTAAATCACAAATTCATCACCATCCGTCAGTGTGGTCAACAGTTATTGACTCGATCATCATTCTGAGAATGCTATGTTCCAGAGCCAAGATTTTACCAGCTTTCTGAAAGTCAGGAGGGAAGGGGCAGATCTAATCTCCATCAGGAGAGAGTTCCAGAGCCGAGGGCACCACCGAGAAGGCCCTGTCCCTCGTCCCCACCAGACTTGATTGTGAAGGTGGTGGGACCGAGAGCAGGGCCCCTCTAGAAGATCTTAACAACCTTGATGGTTCATAAGGGAGAATCCGTTCAGACAGGTAAACTGGACCGGAGTCATTTAAGGATTTATAGGTCAGCACCAGCACTTTGAATTGTGCTCGGAAGCCAATTGGCAGCCAGTGGAGTTGACGCAACAGAGGAGTAGTATGCTCCCTGTACCCCGCTCCTGTTAGTAATCTGGCTGCCACACGTTGGACTAGTTGAAGCTTCCGGGCAGTCTTCAGAGGCAACCCCACTTAGAGAGTGTTGCAGTAGTCTATACGGGATGTAACCAGAGCATGGACCACCAGGGCCAAGTCAGACTTCTCAAGGTATGGGCACAGCTGGCGCACAAGTTTTAATTCTGCAAAAGCTCTCCTGACCACCACCGCCGAGACCTGGGGTTCCAGGCTCAGCGATGAGTCCAGGATCACTCCCAAGCTGCGAACCTGCGCCTTCAGGGAGAGTGTAATCTTGTCAAGCACAGGCTGTAACTCTATGCCCTGTTCGGCCTTTCGACTGACCAGGAGTACCTCTGTCTTGTCTATATTTAGTTTCAATCTGTTGTCCCTCATCCAGTCCATTACAGCGGCCAAGCACCAGTTCAGGACTTGAACAGCCTCCTTAGTAGCAGGTGGGAAGGAGTAACAGAGTTGGACATCATCTGCGTACAGGTGACACCACACCCCGAAACTCCGGATGATCTCTCCCAATGGCTTCATGTATATATTGGACAACATAGGGGACAGTACTGAGCCCTGTGGGACCCCACAGTACAATGGCCGCAGAGTCGAGCAGGAGTCCCCTAGTATGACCTTCTGGGAGTGACCCTCGAGGAAGGACTGGAGCCACTGCAAAGCAGTACCCCTGAGGCCCATTCCCGCAAGGCGTCCCAGGAGGATACCATGGTCAATGGTATCAAAGGCCGACAAGAGGTCCAGCAGAATCAACAGGGACACACTCCCCCGTCCAGTTCCCGGCGAAGATCACCAATTAAGGCGACCAAGGGTGTCTCGGTACCATGTCCTGGCCTAAAGCCAGACTGAAAAAATAAATGGATCATTTTTTATTTGCCTCACCAGAGCCCCTGGTGTTGCAGTGGGTTAAACCACTGAGCTGCTGAACTTGCTTGCTGGAAGATCACAGGTTTGAATCCGGGGAGCAGGGTGAGCTCCCACTGTTAGCACAAGCTTCTGCCAACCTAGCAGTTCAAAACATGCAAATGTGAGTAGATCAATAGGTACCGCTCTGGCGGGAAGGTAACGGCGCTCCATGCAGTCATGCCGGCCACATGACCTTGGAGGTGTCTAAGGACAACGCCGGCTCTTCGGCTTAGAAATGGAGATGAGCACCACACCCCAGAGTCAGACATGACTGGACTTAATGTCAGGGGAAAACCTTTACCTTTACATAAAACAGACACACACACACCATAAAAATGTCCTCCACACCCAAAAATAGATGAACTGAACCAAAAATCTCAAAAATAATTAGAATAGACTTGAGAATGTGTTTGAAGTTCTCTATTTCCTCTTAGAAAATTCACTAATGTGCGTGACAGTGATAAACATCGCACAAAAGAACCCCCATGAAGTCAGTGAACAACATATGTCTGCAAAATACAATGAAGAAAAGGATGGAGCACAAGAGAAAATGTAAGGGACACCACAACTTAAATGCAGAGAGCTCATCAGAAAAAAAAATCTTCACCTGTTTAATAGAATAGAACTGGGAATTTGGTTGTGGGAGCTTTTTATTCTGTCTCAGTCCTGCCCCTGTGATTGTTGATGGGTTTATGCAAAGGCAAGAGAAACTCCCCTTTCTTCTTAAACCCAGAACATAACTGACCAGAGACAGACTGTTCTGTTGCAGCACACAGCAACTAAGATCCAGTCCATCCTTTGGCAATGCAAGTCCTCTTTTCAGTTCTCATTGCCCTGACTGCCTCCTCCTCATGTATGTTGGGATCTAAATTGAAGTGATATTGTAGTTGTGGGTGCTTTGAATTTCCATGCCTTAAAAAGCTTTCTTCTCCCTTCCTACTTTTTCCAGGTGTCCTCTCACAAGTGGTGCTGACCCAGTCAGATTCGGTGTTAACAAAACCTGGAGAATCCTATAAGTTGACCTGTGCCACCAGTGGATTCACTCTTAGTAACTACTGGATGCACTGGGTCAGAGAAAAAACAGGCAAACGATTGGAATGGCTTGTTCAGTATTATAATGCTCGGGGCAACTACTATTCCCCTTCAGTCCAGGGAAGATTCACAGCCTCTAAGGACAGCACCAACTTCTATCTGCAAATGAACAACCTCAAAGCAGAAGACACTGCGGTCTATTACTGTGGAAGAGACACGGTGAAAGGGATCCCAGAAGACCTCTGACAAAATCCCTTGGCTGCACGAATTTGAGAACAAAATCACCAGCGGGGGGCAGAGGAAAGTCGCAATTGAGAGACTTGTAATAAAGAAGAAATATACAAAACGACAGAAAGATTCATCACTTTCTGCTTACATCCAGATTCAAACTGTGTGTGTGTGTGTGTGTGTGTGTGTGTTTGATGACATTTTAATCTTACTTCACTTTGCTTCAGGGGTTCATTGGAAAATGTGGGAGGCATTTGGGCTGAAATGGTGGGACAAATAAAAATAGATTATTCTAAACCTTTCTAGCTTGTGATCAGAAGTAAACCAACAGGGGAAATAGTGGGGAGAATTTCACCTGGTGGAGAAGCACTCTGAGATGGAGGAGAGGATTTGTTTGTTTCAATATTTCTTGGAGAAATCTGGCATCCCAGGCTGTCCCCCAGCTCTGAATGTCCATTCAGAAAAAAAAAACAATATCCCCCTCTCCTTTTGAGTCACAAATGTTATACTTGGCAAACCATGGTTTTCTATGGTATTTCTACTATAAGGTCTGAAACTGTATCACATTGTTTCTTTTCTCTTTAACAGACAACTTCCAGTGAATTATAGGTGCATCTACACTGTCGAATTAATGCAGTTTGATGCCACTTGAAAATCCAGAGCTCAATGCTATGCATTCCTGGGAGTTGTCATATTACAAGGTCTTTAGTTTTGCTGTAAAAAATAGATAACCTTTGTGTGAGAGAAAGGGGAGTTTGGAACCCAATTTTAGCATCAATATACTAAGATTCAAGTACAACCTGATCCTGACCAGAGCCCCCATTGGTGCAGTAGTTTAAACCACTGAGCTGCTGAACTTGCTTGCCGAAAGGTTGCAGGTCTGAATCCAGGGAGCAGTGTGAGCTCCCGCTGTTAGCCCCTGCTCCTGCCAACCTAGCAGTTCAAAAACATGCAAATGTGAGTAGATCAATAGGTACCGCTCTGGTGGGAAAATAACAGTGCTCCATGCAGTCATGCTAGTCACATGACCTTGGAGTTGTCTATGAACAACTCTGGCTCTTTGACTAAAAAATGGAAATGAGCACCAACCCCCCAAAGTCGGACACAACTGGACTTAATGTCAGGGGAAAACCTTTACCTTTAAACATATATCCACCCCATAAAAATGTCCTCCACACCCCAAAAGAGATAAACTGAATCAAAAATCTTAAAAATAATTAGAATAGACTTGAGAATGTGTTTGAAGTTTTCCATTTCATCTTAGTAAATACACGATTGTGGGTGATAGGATAACCACATGCCACAAAAGAACCCCCATGCGTTCAGTGACCAAAATATGTCTGCAAAATACAATGAAGAAAGGGACAGAGCACAAGAGAAAATGTAAGAGACACCATAACATAAATGCAGGGAGCTCGTCAGGAAAAAAATAGCTTCACGTATTTATGGAATACACACATCATGCGATGTGCGGGGCTTGATGAATGCAAAGCTGGGGTGAAAATTGCTGGAAGAAACATTAACAACCTCAGATATGCAGATGACACCACTCTGATGGCCAAAAGCGAGGAGGAGCTGAGGAGCCTTCTAATCAAGGTGAAAGAAGAAAGCGCAAAAGCCGGGTTGCAGCTAAACATCAAAAAAACCAAGATTATGGCAACAAGAATTATTGACAACTGGAAAATAGAGGGAGAAAATGTGGAGGCCGTGACAGACTTTGTATTTCTAGGTGCAAAGATTACTGCAGATGCAAACTGTGGCCAGGAAATCAGAAGACGCTTCCTTCTTGGGAGGAGAGCAATGTCCAGTCTCGATAAAATAGTAAAGAGTAGAGACATCAGACTGGCAACAAAGATCCGCCTAGTCAAAGCCATGGTATTCCCTGTAGTAACCTACGGATGTGAGAGCTGGACCTTAGGGAAGGCTGAGCGAAGGAAGATCGATGCTTTTGAGCTGTGGTGTTGGAGGAAAGTTCAGAGAGTGCCTTGGACTGCGAGAAGATCCAACCAGTCCATCCTCCAGGAAATAAAGCCCGACTGCTCACTGGAGGGAGATACTAGAGACAAAGTTGAAGTACTTTGGCCACATCATGAGGAGACAGCAAAGCCTAGAGAAGACAATTATGCTGGGGAAAGTGGAAGGCAAAAGGAAGAGGGGCCGACCAAGGGCAAGATGGATGGATGGCATCCTTGAAGTGACTGGACTGATCTTGAAGGAGCTGGGGGTGGTGATGGCCGACAGGGAGCTCTGGCGTGGGCTGGTCCATGAGGTCACGAAGAGTCGGAGACGACTGAACGAATGAACAACAGCATTTATGGACTAGATCTGGGGTCTTGGTTGTGGGGGCTTTTTATTCTGTCTCAGTCCTGCCCCTGTGCTTGTTGATGGGTTTATGCAAAGGCAAGAGAGACTCCCCTTCCTTCTTAAACCCAGAACATATCAGAGCAGAGAGACAGATTGTCCCAGTGCAGCACACAGCAGCTAAGCTCCAATCTGTCTTTCTGCAATGCAGCCTCTCTGGTCAATACTCATTGCCCTGTCTGCCTCTTCCTCATGTATGTTGTGATCTAAATTGAAGTGATATTGTGGTTGTGGGTGTTTTGAGTTTCCATGTCTTAAGAAGCTTTCTTCTCCCTTCCTCCTCCTTCCAGGTGTCCTCTCACAAGTGGTGCTGACCCAGTCAGATTCGGTGTTAACAAAACCTGGAGAATCCTATAAGCTGATCTGTGTCACCAGTGGGTTCACTCTTGGCGACTACTGGATGAACTGGATCAGACAGAAACCAGGCAAAGGATTGGAATGGCTTCTTCAGTATTATGATGCTTCGAGCAAGTATTATTCCCCTTCAATCCAGGGGCGATTCACAGCCTCTAAGGACAGCACCAACTTCTATCTGCAAATGAACAACCTCAAAGCAGAAGACACTGCAGTCTATTACTGTGCAAGAGACACAGTGAAAGGGATCCCAGCAGAGCTCAGACAAAATCCCTTGGCTGAAAGAACTTGAGAATAAACTCACCAGAGGAGGCAGAGGAAACCCACAAATGAGAGACTTGTAATGCAGAAGAGATATACAAAAGGACAGGGTCATCACTTTGTGCTTACATCCAGATTTAGCCTTTATTTATGTATACACATACAGTATAGTCTCACTTATCCAACATAAATGGGCCAGAAGAATGTTGGAATGGATAAGTGAAAATGTTGGATAATGACGGATTAAGAAAAAACCTATTGAACATCAAATTATGTTATGATTTCACAAATTAAGCACCAAAACATCATTTTACAACAAATGGACAAAAAAGGCAGTTCAATACACAGTAACGTTATGTAGTAATTATTTAATTTACGAATTTAGTACCAAAACTGACAAGGGCTCCTTCTTTCTCTCACCCCCCCCCCCCCCCGCCCCCCCCCCCCCCCCCCCCCCCCCCCCCCCCCCCCCCCCCCCCTCTCACCCTGGACATTATTCCACAGGTAAATATACATTCCATTTCCCTCACCTGTGGACCCAGGCGGGAGGCAGACCGCGTTGGATAATACAGAATGTTGCATAAGCAAGACTTTACAAGCAGGGATCCTCAAACTAAGGCCCGGGGGCTGGATACATCTGGGGAGGCCCTTCTTTCGATCCCGCCTGCTTCACAGGCACGTCTGGCGGGGACGAGAGAAAGGGCCTTCTCGGTGGTGGCCCCCCGGCTGTGGAACGACCTCCCTGCTGACATCAGACAGGCGCCCTCCCTTCTGTCCTTCCGTAAGAGCCTGAAGACCTGGCTATTTGAGAAGGCATTCAACTGAGCGCTACGGCAACTGGTAATTGACAACTGGAACGGAATACGGATTACGGTATTGGTTATGATTCTATGATGTGACGGAGCGGATTATTTAGTGTAACTTAGATTATAGTGTATTATTGTTGTATTGATTTCCTGTTTTGCCCTTTTGTAAACTGTTTTTATATGTTGTGCACCGCCGCGAGTCGCCCTAGGGCTGAGAGCGGCGGTCAATAAATGCAGTAAATAAATAAAATAAAAAATAAATTTACCCAGGGTCAATCTAAGTGTGAAGTGACTTGAAAGCACACAACAACAACAACAACAACAACAACAACAACAACAACCCTATCTCATCAGCCTATATTTCCCATTGAAATACCAATAAGAGTATATTTGTTAAAATTGTTCATTTTAATTATTGTATTGTTTTTAAGTGTTTTTGCACTACAAATAAGATATATGCAGTGTTCATAGGAATTCATTCATAGAATCATAGAATCAAAGACTTGGAAGAGACCTCATGGGCCACCAGTCCAACCCCCTGCCAAGAAGCAGGAATATTGCATTCAAATCACCCCTGACTGATGGCCATCCAGCCTCTGTTTAAAAGCTTCCAAAGAAGGAGCCTCCACCACACTCCGGGCAGAGAGTTCCACTGCTGAACGGCTCTCACAGTCAGGAAGTTCTTCCTATTGTTCAGATGGAATCTCCTCTCTTGTAGTTTGAAGCCATTGTTCTGCGTCCTAGTCTCCAAGGAAGCAGAAAACAAGCTTGCTCCCTCCTCCCTGTGGCTTCCTCTCACATATTTATACATTTTTTCCAAATTATAATCAGGCCCTCCAAAAGTTTGAGAGACTGTGACCTGGCCCTCTGTTTAAAAAGTTTGAGGACCCCTGCTCTACTGTATGTATGTATGTGTGTGTGTGTGTGTGTGTGTGTATGCTTGATGACATACGCCTCTTATTTCACTTTGTTTCAGGAGTTCACTGGAAAATGTGGGTGGCATTTGTGCTGATATGATGAAACAAAATTTTAAAAGACTATTATAAACCTTTCTGGTTTGTGATCAGAAGTAGACCAACGAGGGAAATAGTGGGGAGAATTTCACCTACTGGAGAAGCATTCTGGGATGCAGAAGAGAAATTATGATTATTATTGATTTCAATATTTCTTGGAGAAGTTTGGCATCACAGGCTGCCGCCCAGCTCTGAATGTCAGTTCAGAAAAAACAGTATCCCCCCCCCCCATTGAGTCACAAACGTTATAAGTCACAAACATTATAATAAGTAATAAGATCAATAAGTACCGCTCTGGTGGGAAGGTAATGGCGCTCCATGCAGTCATGCTAGTCACATGACCTTGGAGGCGTCTATGGATAACACCAGCTCTACGGCTTAGAAATAGAGATGAGCATCAACCCCCAGAGTCGTACACGACTGGACTTAATGTCAGGGGAAAACCTTTACTTTACACATAGATTTTAAAAATGATCTCCATACCTCTAAAGAGATGAACTGAACCAAAAAATCTCAAAAGCCTTCACCTGTTTATAGAATAGAACTGGGAATTTGGTTGTGGGAGCTTTTTATTCTGTCTCAGTCCTGCCCCTGTGATTGTTGATGGGTTTATGCAAAGGCAAGAGAAACTCCCCTTTCTTCTTAAACCCAGAACATAACTGACCAGAGACAGACTGTTCTGTTGCAGCACACAGCAACTAAGATCCAGTCCATCCTTTGGCAATGCAAGTCCTCTTTTCAGTTCTCATTGCCCTGACTGCCTCCTCCTCATGTATGTTGGGATCTAAATTGAAGTGATATTGTGGTTGTGGGTGGTTTGAGTTTCCATGTCTTAAGAAGCTTTCTTCTCCCTTCCTCCTTCTTCCAGGTGTCCTCTCACAAGTGGTGCTGATCCAGTCAGATTCAGTGTTAATAAAACCTGGAGAATCCCATAAAATGACCTGCATCACCAGTGGATTCACTCTTAGTGACTACTGGATGTACTGGGTCAGACAGAAACCAGGCAAAGGATTGGAATGGCTTCTTCAGTATTATAGTTCTGGGAGCAACAACTATTCCCCTTCAATCCAGGGGCGATTCACAGCCTCTAAGGACAGCACCAACTTCTATCTGCAAATGAACAACCTCAAAGAAGAAGACACTGCAGTCTATTACTGTGCAAGAGGCACAGTGAAAGGGATCCCAGCAGAACTCATACAAAATCCCTTGGCTGCATGATTTTGAAAACAAAATCACCAGAGGAGGCAGAGGAAACCCACAAACGAGAGACTTGTAATGCAGAAGAGATATACAAGGGGACAGGAAGATTCAGCACTTTGTGCTTACATCCATATTCAGCCTTTGTGTGTATGTGTAGGTGTGTGTGTGCTTGATGACATATTCATCCTATTTCACTTTGCTTTAGGAGTTCACTGGAAAATGTGGGTGGCATTTGGGCTGAAATGATGAAACAAAATAAAAAAGAGGTTTAGCACAGCTGATAAATCACCACCATCTATAAGATCAGGGGTCCTCAAACTAAGGCCCGAGGGCCAGATACGGCCCTCCAAGGTCATTTACCCGGCCCTCGCTCAGGGTCAACCTAAGTCTCAAACTACTTGAAAGCACGCACAACAACAATCCTATCTCATAAGCCAAAAGCAGGCCCACACTTCCCATTGAAATACTAATAAGTTTATATTTGTTAAAATTATTCTTCATTTTAATTATTGTATCGTTTTAAGTGTTGTTGTTGTTTTTTTTTTGCACTACAAATAAGACACGTGCAGTGTGCATAGGAATTCATTTATGTTTTTTCAAATTATAATCCGGCCCTCCAATAGTTTGAGGTACTGTGACCTGGCCCTCTGTTCAAAACGTTTGAGGACCCCTGTATGAGATCTATCAACCGAAAGGTTGCAAGTTTGAAGCCTCGGATTGGTGTGAGCAGCCAACTGTCAGCCCTGCTCACTGTTTACTTAAGCAGTTTGAAAACAGCTTTAGCTGTTATTAGAGAACATAGGTACCGCTAAAAGTGGGGGAGGTGTTTTACAATGCTATAAAGAAAGAAGATCAGGAAATGCTGGGCGACCGAAAGGAAGGAGGAAGTCCTGACAGCTCTTCATCATTGAATATGGATCAACTGCACCCCCTGTGGCTGGACTCGAGCCCAACCTTCAATGCTGGACAGTGGGTTCAAACAACACACCTCCTTTCTGTTCTGTCTGTCTGTGTACTGTCTATACAAAACGGCATTGAATGTTTGCCATGTATGTGTACTGTGATCTGCGCTGAGTTCCCTTTGGGATGAGAAGGGCAGAATAAAAATAAATTATTATTATTATTATTGTTGTTATTATTGTTGTTATTATTATTATTATTATTATTATTATTATTAACCTTTCTGGTTTGTGATCAGAAGTAGACCAACAGGGGAAATAATGGAGAGAATTTCACCTACTGGAGAAGCAGTCTGGGATGGAGGAGAGGAAATATTTATTTATTTATTTCAATATTTCTTGGAGAAATTTGTAGGGCTGGGCAATCACGGAAAAATTTGTTTCTAAAATCGATTCGTTTTTGGGGGTTTTTTGCGTTTCGATTTTTAAAAGAATTCTGAAATTTTTCTTTTAAAAAGTTCGATATTTACGAAATTTCGTAAATTACAAAACAATTACGAAACAATTACGAATCGATTCGTTAATGGCGGACGCGACCGCGCAATACGCTAAAAAAACCTCCAAATGGGACAGGGGGAACTTCTGAAGCTTCCCTCTCCCTCTGTTGTTGACTGTTGGTGTGATATTTATAATTTTTTTTCACTGATTAAACAAACAACAACTATAAAACTTGCCCCAGACATGTGGAAATAATAACGAAACGATTTCAAAACGATAACGAAACGAATACAAAACGAATTCGAAACAATTACGAAAACGAATTTAAAAATTCGTTTCGTTTTTTAGTTGCTCCTGAATGGTTCGTTATCGCTTCGTTATCAAAAAAACGAATTTTTAACAAATTACGAAATTACGAAACGAAACCGCCCAGCCCTAGAAATTTGGCATCACAGGCTGTCTCTCAGCTCTGAATGTCAGTGAGAAAAAAAAACAGTCTCCCCCTCCCCTTTAGAGTCATAAACGTTATACTTGGCAAACCAACTTGACTATTCCAAGGCGAATTTCAAGACAGGTGCATTGGGCAAATCCAGGGCCTAATTCTGTAGAAGATTA